TTCTGTGCTTGCATATCTTAGACATGCCTGGACCGATTACATTCACACTTCACACATACATCAAACATAATATTATACCTATGCACTTTGTTTCACGATCTGATTCAAGATGGCCGAATGACGGCCATTTTTGTGCTGAAAAATCATCAAAATCAAGCATTTCTCGCATTCCAGAACCGGATCTCGGCTGTTTACAGTCTTGGTACATACATTGGACATTATGGATCTTGATGCACATCATTTTGTTTTTTGACCGGATTCAAAATGGCTGATTGGCTGTCATTTTGTTTTAATGACATATTCATATGTCTACCTCCTCCTCTACCTTGTATTCATGAAATAATTAGTTTGCCAGGTTTGGTTTCACTATTTGACTATCTTATTGAAGAGAAAACTAAGATTTTGTAGTGCTTGTACATGATTTTTAGTCATGCTTGCTGAAAGTTTCACTAGCACACTCATGCAGCTAAGCATTTAGAAACATTCGATCTGCATTTGCACAATACGTCTGTCGAAAAAATTTGAGGGTCATGGACTTTACCGCGAGATGGCATCACTGTGTTTGAGTTTGTGTATTTTGACAGTATATCTAAATATGATGTATAGTTTTTTTGCTGAGAATTGGAATGACTTAAGCCCATATTCCAGGGGGTCGTCGGTTGTGTTTGAAGTAAAGTCATTTTTCATCAGACTGAAGCTGATAAAATTAGTTTTATAACCATGAAAGTAAAAAGGCATCCATGGAAAAAATTAAAAAATTTCAATCACTCCACTCAAACTCTCCTTGCCTCAGTTGACAATGAGTTCATTGGGTTGCTAAAACTGTTGAGATGTGCATTTCTATTGTCATATAATTTGTACTGATTGTGCACACTGATGGTGTTTATCATGTATATCATTACGTTTAATGTAAAAAACAGTGATATTTTTCACACTAAATGCTACTACAGAGAATGATTTGTATAATATACACTATATGTTTGATATGGCATATTAACTGACATATTCCGTGATCATTCTCAAAGTTTTATTAGGTTATTGTGACCAGTATTTTATTGTCAAAACTTCCACACATTGTGGGAAATAAAACTTGTGTAGATCAACAATTGGATAGTGACATCATTTGTATTTTAATTAAATGAGCCAAAATAAAGTTGTGACTAGACATAACACACACCGACTCGGAGAAAGTCAGAGACAATTTAACCAATGACTATTATAAACATGATGTTGATTACTCTAAGTGACATAATAGTAGTCACTCCATGTTGATAAATTAGTGGCACTCTTTGACGACAGATTCTTATTAATACAATATTATACAGGCTGTACCTTTGATGAACTTCTAATAAATGTTTCCGTAAAGCAAGCATGCAGCTCGTATTCAACTGTCGAGTTGAATTGATTCCCAATGTATGTCCAAATATTGGCAATCATTCCAGTATACTGCTAATTAGTCTCCTCTGTTCAAATTTATTTTGGCCTGCATTTATTTTCAACAATGGCAAATTTGAGCGAATTCAAGTGTATACTTGCATGTATATTCATGCCTTCAAATATGTCATACTGTATTATGAAAATACTATATTTTAGCTGCAATTAATTTTCGTTGAATGTAAAGTATAGAAAAAAAAGGTATGTTTGCTGGATTTTATTTTCACTGACTCATTCCTTCAGCGAAAATAGCAAAAATCAAGTATTTAACAGTATATTAATTCTAATACCTTAGTAAAACTAAATGAATTATCTAAATGAATTATGAGTACAACTTTAATCTATAATAAAAGTTTTTCTTGTTTTTAGGATGTAATTATTCAATTAAAGTACAGTGCATGGAATCAGGTGAAAATGTGTTGAAACAGTTAAGCATTGATCAGGTTAGTATGTGTTATATAGCTGATAGTTCACCACATCCACTTACATAGTGTTCCCACTAAGCTGATATGATGTGCCATTCACACACAATGATTTGCTGTCACGCAAGTAGATGTACTAATTCTTTGGCATGTCATTGATGCAACAGAGAATACAGTGATTTTGGAAAATTTCCTAATTATGGAATTTTTCATTTGGCAAAATGAAATTAACATTTAGTAAACAAAATAAGTGAAAGAAGGAAATTGGGGGCCCACAACATTTTTGTTTGTACCTCAAGTCACCTATATAGTCGCATACAATTTTCAAGACTGACATCTCCATCAGTCAACAAGCTGACTTATCTTCATTTTCAAGGATCCCATTTTAATCTAGGATTCTTAAAAAATCAGTCCTGCACATATTCACAAATATATCTCTGTTGCTGTTGTCTGACATCAAGCCTATTCGCTTTCCATTGTGTTGTTTATCACGTAGTTGCGTTCCTACTTCGCAAATTTGTGAGATCCCATTCTTGGCCAATATATACACCATCAAGTGTTGAGACTGTGGATGGGTAATGAAGAATTTATATGAATTTAAGCAGGACTCCTAAATTGAGCTAGTTTTGTAAACAACATACATTCAGGGGCTTTGTTTGTCTTTAGAAGTCGATTACATTGTATGTATGTTTGTCTATGGGATAAAACTGGCCAGTACTTTCAAAATGAAATAAGCGAGAAAGTGAGGGTAGGTTAGCTACTTTTAATATATCATGTTTTTTAGCTAAAATATCATCATTTTAAACACATTCTATATTTTTAGGTTGTTCTGGGAGTGATAGTTCACATATTTAGAAAGTGGGAATTCAACTTAAATCTAAAAGTTACCTTGTTATATAAAACGCAATTACTTTCACAAATATACAAGTTACCAGGTTATCTTTATATAAAAATTGATGCAAGCATGTAAGATGGATTGTTCTGTCTTTAATCATATTATTTATTATCTTACTTTCAGGACAACCTTTTGTTTGATTTTGTTGCCTTGGCTGCCCTCTGTATTGGATTCCAAATATTGTCCTTAGTTGTACTACTTTTAAAAAGATATGATAAATATCGTCCTGTTTGAGTCCATGATTCTGGCTCAGTCAGAGGTCTACAGTATGAACCACACAGAAGGCTGTTAACATGCAAGTAAATAAACCTTTGAGAATTTTAAATGAAAACATTATATTTTATAAATTTATGTATAGTTCAAGATAAGTAGAATGCTTTTGTATATGGTGTGCAATAAAGTTGAGTTTGCATAAAAGACGCTGTATAAACCACATGGTTTCTTGTGCAGGTTTTTAAATATATACTAGGGTCATTATGTTATTGTATATTTGTAAAATAGATACTTTGTTCATATGTTGGTTTTCTAATATTCCTTTCATATAAGTTTGATGGTTACCAATTGTATATCTTTTTAATCAATGTTCTTGGGAAAACGATGTCTTTCTGTATATGCATCACTTTTTACAATTGTCAGCTTAAAATATTAGTTGGACAGATTGATGAGTTGATGGATTGCAGCTATGACTAGTAAAATAAAAATGACATTTTAAAAGCACCAATGTTGCTGAGTGAAAATAAATTAAGTACCTGAACTTGTTTCCATGGAAACAATGAATCTGTCATATGATAAACCTTACGTTGGCACCTGTTTTGGATTGGAAAAGGAGCAAAATAGAAATTCATGCCCTAGTTTGAGTATCCCAAGTGTTTTCCTCAGAATTTAAAAACAGCAATCACAGTAAATATTCAATTTCAGGGAAGTCTTAAAAGTACTTCAACTGCCACTAGTCTTAAACAAATCATGAACACATTCTTCTGATAGGTTATACCCAGTAGTATCATATATACACATATACAATATTGTCATAGGAATTGAAATGTTGCATTTGTCTGATAAATATTCTTCCTATTACCAACACTGATTACCTGTCTTGGACTGTGCAAATAATATGAGGTTATTACAAGGATACTGAAAAATATGCACGAAGACTGTACAGCGGGAGTAGGTACAGCAGAGGTCGATGCATACTTACTTTGTGGTATCCTTTTAATAACCTTATTATTATATATCTTTTCCTTCCAATGATACATCATGGGAAATCCAAAAAGTTTAGAACAGAATCAGCGAACTTCTTTGTGTGGAGTCCAGTCAAACCCTGGTGGCAGCCATGTTTGTTTTTATTATTAGACGATGCTTATGTGCGTAATAATTCTATATTTAGAATTCGCATTTCCTAATGTGGTATAATGAAAATACCCAGTAAAATACCACAAAATTATGGCACGCTGTAACTTATGGTGTTACGAGACAGATGTATAATAATAGAATTTATTTCAATGCCATCATTTCTTGCCAAATTTAAGTGCATTAGCTTTCATCATGTCATTTGCATTCAATTCAGGGTTAACCTTTATGTAGACATGAAATCAACGGGTACTTTCCTTATTTGGAGAAGTGGTGTAATTTATTTATTTATTTGTATTAGATGCCATAACAATATGGCATGTAACCAAACAGTATATTTTACACAACAAATTTGCAAGATAACACAGTGAAACATCTGAATTATTAACAAGGTACAGAAGTACTTCTGTATATTCTGTCATAACATTCTTAACAAAAATATAAAAACTCTATAGTGAAGTGCATTATTCTGAGTTTGTGACAGATCTGTATTCATTCTTTTGACTTCTATCTCAATATCACAGAGGCCAAGTCAAAAGAAGCATCTACAAATCTGAACTAAGACACTAAATCACTTAGTAAATCCCAATCCACAGTTCATTCTTGTTGTTTGTGTGAACTAACTCTATTTTAGAATCAATTTTCTATATTTGTGACTCTCATATGTGAAGTACACTATAAACCTGTCTGTCTGTCCTACTGATATCTCAAAAACCATTCATCATGCAACTTGCTACATAAGATGCTCTAGCATAGTGTGTAGACCTGATTAGTATTTTTTATTGAGGTACATGCATATTAATTACCTTATTTGCATAATTATTATTTTCAGCTTTTCTGCTTATATTTCAAAGAACCACTCATTGTATTTCAATAAATTTTAATAGATGCGCTGCTATAATCCACAGACCTGGTTAAACTCTGCAAATATTAATCATAAAATACAAAATCATGAGTTTTCCCACTGACACCACTCACCTGATATTGAAATTTGCTCATATACAGTGGTCTAATTTACTATAATCAGCTGATATTTTCAAAACCAATGAACCATGGTGCAGGAGTGCGTAACCTGATTAGTTTTGGGTTAAAATTTGTGCATAGTAATTACCCAATTTGCATATATCAGACAATGTTTACCTATTTAACAGTTATTGGTCTAAAGATTCATTAATGGTTCATAATGATGTTCTGCTCTGCTCTGCTCTGCTCTGCACTGCACTGCTCTGCTCTGCTATGCTCTGCTCTGCTCTGCTCTGCACTGCACTGCTCTGCTCTGCTCTGCACTGCACTGCACTGCACTGCACTGATACCATGCATTGATGTACAGATTGAGTTCACATTATGTATTTAAAAAAAAAGAGCTATATCAGATAACATAGCTTCTTGTATAAATGACTAATTTATGGCCCCATGCCTTCAGTACACAGGTTTTTTTTCTGGGTTTTCTTTTATCAGTACTACAGAAGAATTGTTATGCTTGTAGGATATGTACATAGCAATTAATCATTTTACTAAACATTGTTTTATTTGGTTTGCAATATTGTGATAAATAAAAAATATACATTAATAAAAGTCAGTATTAGTGTTCAATCTTCAATGACATCCATCATGACATGTATTTAGTGACATCTGATATGACACGTATTCACAGTGACATCCAATATGACATGTATTTAGCAACATCCAATATGACATGTATTCACAGTGACATCCAATATGACATGTATTTAGTGACATCCAATATGACATGTATTAGTGACATCCAATATGACATGTATTTAGTGACATCCAATATGACATGTATTTAGTGACATCCAATATGACATGTATTAACAGTGACATCCAATGACATGTATTTAGTGACATCCAATATGACATGTATTCACAGTGACATCCAATATGACATGTAGTGACATCCAATATGACATGTATTTAGTGACATCCAATATGACATGTATTCACAGTGACATCCAATATGACATGTAGTGACATCCAATATGACATGTATTTAGTGACATCCAATATGACATGTATTCACAGTGACATCCAATATGACATGTATTCACAGTGACATCCAATATGACATGTACATGTATTCACAGTGACATCCAATATGACATGTATTCACAGTGACATCCAATATGACATGTATTCACAGTGACATCCAATATGACATGTAGTGACATCCAATATGACATGTATTCACAGTGACATCCAATATGACATGTATTTAGTGACATTCAATATGACGTATTCACAGTGACATCCAATATGACATGTATTCACAGTGACATCCAATATGACATGTATTCACAGTGACATCCAATATGACATGTATTCACAGTGACATCCAATATGACATGTATTCACAGTGACATCCATTATGACATGTATTTAGTGACATCCAATATGACATGTATTCACAGTGACATCCATTATGACAAAGTTTACTACATCACCTACCGGAAAGTAGGCTTAACTACAGAATACAGCCCCAATCGGAAACTATTAAGGAATATACATTTTTTTTTTGTACCCTGTTCACAAAGATCACCTTAGGGTAGCATTCCCTATAGAAAAAATAGGCCTCTCCTAAAGGGGCCACCTTGCGTGCGCGCGGGGTGGTCACGCATAAGAGGCGTGATCCGATATTATCTTTCGTTTCCGCTTACAACGACAGTTGTATTTTTACGCTCTGGTTTTTACAAGCACGACGAAAGACAGGTTACAGTTTTCTGACTGAGATTTATCTAGAGTTTCTAGTGTGGTGATCAACTCATTACGATAAAGACTTTCCATTATTAGGGGCCCCGTTTTTTATCTGTTTTTAATTGAATTGCCGGCTCAGTTTACTTTCACCGAATTTTGGCATGGTGAATTTACTCGTTTCGCTTTTATTTTTTTGATCTCACTTTTGTAATTTTTGCAGACGCTAATATGCCTGAGTCACAAAAAAAGACGAAGAACGTCCCACCTCAAACGGAACGTAGGACATGCTCTTCCTGATCCTGATCCTCATTTGTGTTGTCACGCTTGCCTTAATTGTGTCTGGGACTCAAGAGTCTGCCTTGAGTGGATTTGTGATTTATGGGACCATAAAATGTGGCTCATTTGTGAAGCGTGTTGAAGACTGAAGGCAAGCGATCTAAAGCTGGTAGAGGTCGCGGAAAGAAGGGAAAATCCCTTACTGCCGCTTGCGCTAGTGTGTCTGATTCTATGAGTGAGAAATCTTTCCCTACACTTGGTAGTCACCACAAGGCTCCCCTTCGGTCAACATCTGAGAATTTGCGAGAGTTGTCACGATCTGACTCCCTGCTCGAGGTGGCAGGGTCGACGATTGAGACAAGGCCGTCGAAACAGTTTGCCGTTGAGGTAACGGAAAGGGCGGTTGATAGCACGGGAACTACGATGGTGGATCTGAATTCTCCCAACACGGAGTTTGCTTCCCCACCGGATATTACCGAGGCTAACGAACATCGGTCAACCGCTTTTGCGGGGAGATCAGAGTTCCCAGTCACCACGGTGATGGACATTGATAAATGGCATGTTCCCTCTGGGGCCCCGACATCGACACTGAGTCTCGCGGTGAAATCAGCATGTCCTTCAGAGACTGAACCGGTTCAACCCACCTGTACTTCACCATTACCGACGCAGCCTGAGTGCATTACGCAATCACAGGGACAGGCCCAGTTACCTCCCTGTACCGGTACTAGTCAAGGTGACAAACGACTCTCCCAGGGTGAAGAGATGGCTTGAACAGTCTGGATGCGTAGTCTGGCTTCAAAAGTCAACTCCCTTTTGCAGTCTCAGAGTAGGACTCAGGAGGACCTAGGGGGGTAAGTCAGCGGGGTTGGGGGCCTGAGATATTGCCTGTACCACCACCACCAAGGCTAAGGTCAGGTGTGTCCCTTTTTCCCAGTGATCTCTCCTTTAGAGGGTCAGGGGGGACAATTCACATCAGTAATAAGGGAAGCGGCCACTTCTTTTATAGAAGGAGGCCCTCTCCCCGGAACGGATCGCCTTACGCATTCTCTTCCGTATTCCCCACACTTCCCTCAGGCTCGGGCTGACCAGGCATTGTTTCCTGCGTCTTCCCAAGCCATGCAAAATGTCCCCTCTTACATGTATGACTCTGCGAGGCAAGGGGACACCAGTGTTGGTACCCCTGTACAGGGTGGTACGCAACCCTCTTATGGG